AAAAAGGATGTGGAGAAGCTTGAGAGAGTCCAGAGAAGAGCCATGCTCATGATCAGAGGTCAGGAAAACAGACCTTACGACGACAGGCTGAGAGCCATGGGGCTCTTTAGCCTGGAAAAGCGCAGGCTCAGGGGTGATCTGATGGCCACCTATAAGTTTATCAGGGGTGACCACCAGTATCTGGGGGAATGTTTGCTCACCAGAGCGCCCTAACGGATGACAAGGTTGAACGGTTACAAACTACTACAAGACCATTTCAGGCTGGACATAAGGAAGAATTTCTTTACCGTCCGAGCCCCCAAGGTCTGGAACAGCCTGCCATCGGAGGTGTTCAAACACCTACATTGAACACCTTCAAGAAAAAATTGGATGCTTATCTTGTTGGGATCCTATGACCCCAGCTGACTTCCTGCCTTCAGGCGGGGGGCTGGACTCCATGTTCTTCAGAGGTCCCTTGCAGCCCTAATGTCTATGAATCTTCAGCCTGCTCACCTTCCCTTCCCTAGGAAAAAGCTAGTTTTAACCCTTTCACAGCTACTGTCGGCAGTTCTTGGCTGCTTAGGAAAACTCTGAAACTGCAACTGCTATTAAAGGACTGGATGTCCATGGGCAGATCTGTGGCTTTGAAAAGTGCTAAAAAAGAAAGTCTGCAGCGTAGTGAAATAGGAAAGAGCCAGCATAACTAACAGAGGGCAAAACTGGCAGAGAAAGGATAGCTTGATCAATGGAACATAAAAAACACTGAAAAGGAGAGAGGGTCATTAACACCTGTGAAGAGTAATTAGCAGGAAGCAAAGAGATGATAAGGAGCCTGGAAGTCAACTAATTCCCTTTAACACTGCCTGAATAGAAATGCCATTGATGCTGCTGGGCAATTGGTTTTTCACTTTGGGTGGAGCAGGAAGAGTGCGATTGCACCATTACCCACCCTCCCCACTTTGATCTGCCCCTCCCCCCCCTCCATGCAGCTTCTGGAAGGAAGAAAAAAAGGCAGAGCAGCTGCAGCTATCTCACAGTGTCTAAATGCTTCTACGCTGGGCAGATCATCAGCTTCCCTACTTAAGACGTGTGCCCCAATTTCAGAAGGCTAACCTTTGGGAAAAAGATGTGTGGTGTATTCTTCAGCACTGTTGGGGCTGAAAGATACGGTAAAGGCTTAGGGCAGTTCACTTGGAAACTCTTACCAAGAGGCATGTAGAAGGCAAAAGGTTTGAAGACCACTTGGTGTTTATTTGTAAAATGGGGATTGCCCTCATTAGCCAGGGTCATGATGACACATGCATCTCTGCTGCTGTTGCCCTGATAGTACACACCCTTTCTTTGTCACTGATCTGAAAAACAAGATAGGCCTGAACAGATGCGTCTTCTACTTAACAGCCACCCATGTTTCTGGCATACGCCAAGGCCAAGCTACCTCCATCAGACCTTCCACCAGAACAGTTCTGCTACATGACTTCTAGGATTTAGCACTGGAGATCACAAGCTTGAGCACCTTTCTTTCGCATCTACAGGGCATGCGAATTCTCTCTTGTCATCTAAAAGGGTGGAGTGAGACACTGACCTGCAGGAAGTCCCCCGTGTGCTTACTGATTCCATGGAGAGCATACAGGAGACACAGACTAGTCATGATGGCACGAACAGCTGCATCACTTATCTCTGAGAGCTTTGCTGTGAAGAGCTTCACCACCACATAGTGACAGTGTGCCTGAAAAGAGGGATTCAGGGTTGGAAACAGTTGATGGTTGTTTGGATGCTCCCACAACATGCTTATTTGGGCATTTCACTGACCTCTGAAGCTCGCACCAGATCAACAGAGGTTCGGTTCCAGGCATCTTCCTTGCTCTCCCTACGGTTCAGCTCCCCTTGCAAGTTCTTTGCTGCAGCTTCTACAAGCCTGTTCCACAAAGGACAAGAAAGAGAAGCTGTCTGCATCAAGGCACCACATCCTTTGTGCTACGGAAGGTTAAATTCACAGAAGCCTGGAATTACTCAATCTCTTCCCTTAAATGAATGCAGCTCCAGAACTCGCACCCATCCTGCTGTAGGAAAGGTGCAATGACACAAAAGTAAGGAAAAAAGAATGTGTGCAACTGTTTGCATAGATACAGTCATGTATCACCCATGATTTTTTGCACCTCCTTAGTTACTGGACTTATACAGCTTACTGGGGATATTCAGTCCTAATATTAATTTTAGTGTTAGTAAATTTTAATATGGTTTAGATTTCAACTGAAAGAACTCAGAGCTCCTGCCAAAGACATCAAGGGGTACTTAGAATAACAGAATCTACAGAAAAGTAAGGCTGAAAGGGTCTTCAGGAGGTCATCTAGTCCAGCCCCCTGCTCAGATCAGAATCATTCCCATCTACATTATCCTAGACACGTGTTTAACTGCTCTTAAAAACTTCCAATGAGTGAGATGCCACAACCTCTCTAGGTAGCCTGTTCCATTACTTAAGCTACCCTCACAATGAAAAGGTTCATCTTAATATCTAACTTACATTTCCACTGCTGCAATTTAAAAGCCTTGCTCCTTGTCCTGTCCCATCCTAGCACACTTTGGTTGTGTTGACTGAAACATTAAGAATCCAAAAATGGGCTGAACTAGCAGGAAGCAACGTTTCTTAAAGACAGGCAGATGATGGACTGACAGAAAAGCTCTGCAGATCACAGATTGAGAACTGCTGCACCAACAGAACAGCATAGCTTTGTCATGTATCCCCTGACACATGCATTCAAGATAATTTTGCAAGGGCATAATCCAGTACATTGAACGTGAACTCACCTGGATGCCCGCACTTTATATGCTTCTACCAGGCTGGCTGGATCATTGATGTGCACGGTTGTGGGTCTAGCAGCCACTTGCTGTGGTTGGATGCGTTGCCCTGAGAGGTCATTAAGGTAGGATACCATTCCACTAACCAACTGGCCCGAACTAACCTGAGCATAACATTTGACCAGGAACCTGAAAGCATTGAAGAAAGAAGTAACTACATTGCATGATTTATTTGGAGAGAGAGAGAAGAGACATTCATTTCAGGATACAATCTACAGGGCTGCTAACAAACATGCAAGCAGGAGTCGCACACACTTGCTCTTCTAACAGAAGCCACAAAGACACATAAATAGAGATCTAATAGAAAGAATACTACAGGTCTGGTGATGGGGTGGAGGGGAGGGATAAGGTCTGTGCACCCATCTAACCCTATCTCCAGGACACACAGACTACTAACGACAAGGTGGAGAGATCTCGAAGGAAGTCAATTCACCTAGCTGTCTGCAGCATCATGACAGTGTTTTCTCCTTCGTAGGTACAGGATGGAGTGAAAGTGACATAGATATCAGGAAGGCCGCTGCAACGAGAGTAGCCATGCCCACCACATGCCATTCGACATTCCTCAATGCCAGCATTGGCTATCCATGAAGTGAACGCCTTCAGCCCCGCAGTCAGTGCATGGAGCTGACAGAGAGAAGCAGAATAAGTTAGTAGCTGCCGGTCGCATCTACTGTATTAACAAGTGGTTTCCCAGGATCCCATTCTTCATTTGTATTTCCTTTATTACCTCACAAACATACTTGCCTTCAGCTGAAGCTTGTGGAATAAATATTGTGTACTTTACACCATCTACCTGCTATGCATCAGCAAAGGAAAACAAACACTGAAAACCACAGAGCTGGAAGGGACCTCAGGACCCTGGCGCTTATACACGAGCACCAAGGCTGCTCTGATGTGCTGGAATTCCAGCAGGTTGGAGCAGACTTGATTAGTCGAGCCTGCTGGAGCACGGCAATTGAAATGCTTGAACAAGCTTTAGTTCAAGCGTCCTCTGCTGCCATTTTTAAGCGCAGGGACAGTGACACAGGAGACACGGAAGCACACCCTGAAGCAAGTGTAAAAGTGCCCCTAGAGTCCAGGATCATCCCTATCTAAACCATCCTAGACAAGTAATTTGTCTACTCTGTTCTCCAGAGCTTTGGAGAAGCTACAACTCACACAACTACCAAGCATAATGCCCAAAATAATCAAAAGCACTTTTTAACTTGTTACAGGTCAATTAGTGGAACAAGCGCACTATCAATGACTAAAAAAGTACTTCCTGTCCTTGCAGTGACAAAATAGACTTGCGTTCCAAGGAAGAGCACCATACTCTCTACTCCAGAGGAAAGCCCAAACCCCCAGAGTCCCTGCCAATCTGACCAGGGGTTAAATTCTTTACTGATCCCAAAAATGGCAATTGGTTATTCAATTATTGTTTACTTTGTGAGATAATTTTTGTTGAGCCCAATCATACCTGAAACCTTAGTGCTGGTAAGTACCAATTCAGTCATCCAGTTCATGCCTCTCTGTATGCACAACAGGATTCTTTACAGTATGTACCCAAATGCTCTGCCTAGTTAGGAAGACTAATTTAGAAAAGATTGGAGAGGCACTCTGATACACAATGGAAGAAAAAACAATGTATTTTTCCAGCTGAACCATTAAAAGTGACCTGGAAGTTGTTATATCTTACCGCCCAATTCCTTCCTAATTAAAGGTACCGCCCAACTCCTTCCTAATTAAAGGTGCTGTCCAATGCTAGTTAACTGGAAACATGGTACAGGCACTGCGGCAAGGGAACTGAAGTCAAGGCTCTTTCATGACTAACATTCTGGATGAGTCACTTGACTTCTGAGTGCTGGCTTTCTCACTGTAAAATGGGAATAATTCTGTTCATTTTTTTCAAGTACAGGGCAATATACAGATGGAACTGTAATGGTGTCTCCAGATAAGTCATCACCCTGGACTGAAAAGGACCCTAAAAAAGAATAAGCCTTTACTGCTTGTGCTAGAAGGCCTGGTCTACAAGATCACAGACCACGATAAACTTTATAAACAGTGTTAAACAATGCAATGATTTTCAAGCAGGATGAGTACCTCTGGCAGCTGGCTCAGGTCTCCCTCACTGATGTCTCCTGTAATGCGAAGATAGGTTTCTTTCATGTAAGCTCCAACAAAATGAAAGGCATATGCAGTTGCCAGGAGAGGAAAGAGTTTATACTGTTGAGTCTGATAATCCAAGATCTGGGGCTCTGGCTCCCTGTGGCAAAAGAGAGAAGAGTTTAATTGCCACAATTGTCAATTCTCATAAGAGGTTTGTTAGGAGTCCAGTAGAACTGCTGCTTCTAGTGGGAATACCTGCACGTATTACTGTGAAAGTAAAGACACGACTGAAAACAGAATGAGTTTGGAACCCAAGCATACTGGGAGGAAACGGGTTTTCTACTGAGAAGAGAGGTGGGTCTGTGCATTAATCAAGGTGTCCAGCAGAAGTGTCTGGCAGCTGGAAGCGTGTAGGAGCTAGGTACATGTGTGTGGGTCTGCTTCAGTCTCATAATTCAGAAGGTCCCCAACTTTCACTAAAGTCCTTACACTCACCCTGGCTTCAGCTCAGACTGGTGCCTCACTGCACTGTAACGAATAGCAATGGTGCAAGCCCTGGACAGGGAGCGAGCAGAGTCACCCACGATGATGGATCTGATGAATACCATGGTCCCGTAAGTCAGCTTGTCATTGAGGGGTTTCACATACGTACCATCCGGTTCAACCTAGAAAAAAAATACCGTGTTGATCCAAGACAATTCCTCCCTTGTAAAACTTTCAGTACTGCTAGTTTGGTGCAGAACAGAAGACATGTCAATTTAGCTACCAACTGGGAGTCCAACTTCAAGAATCTTGTAAAGAGCATGCAGTATCATAGACTGCATGCTTCCCTCGACCCAATTTCAAAAGTTTTCTGAAAAGACGAAAGCTGGAGAGAGCAACATTCATTTCACATGCCTTTCAGATTTTAATAAGGAGGGAGAGGGGGAGAACTAAGCCCAGATGTACTTGTAAATATAGTCAAACTCATTTCTACAGGTCTACATATTTTGGCATTTTTATTTATTCGTTTATGGTGAACCCGAGAAAAGACGCTTACAGTTTTAAGGTATCACTGATTATGTTGGCAATTATTCTGAGTCTATTGCAGCATGGGCTCAAATCTCATCAAGTCAAGCTATGGTCTTGTCAGTACTCATATCAGAAATTTGTCACGAAAACCAGGGTGTTGTAGCAAATGTTGCCAATGTGATGGGTGGCTCTCCTCTTAATTAGCCCTCAGGAGCATCCTAGAGGTATGGCTCAGCTTTATAAAAGTCACTCAAGACCTCACAGCATGTCTCCTGAAAGGTGGGGCTGCTAATTCCTATGACTGGCCATACTCTAACTTGGCTAGTTCCACCTGATCTCTATAGTCCCTCTACAAGTTCGTTTGGTGCTTATTATGCGTACATGGTGCAGTATCTAAACAACCGCCAGGTCCACCTCTATTGATCAATGTGACTGCATTTCATAGAGCAATGGGGGATAAAGTGCAGCTATGTTAGCGAGAAAACATACTGGAGTCCATTCTTAAGAACCATTGCATGCAAGCAGAAGGGGATTATTTAAAACAAGAAAAATTGCACAGGATACCAACTACCATTTACTAGTAAGATATCTTTAATGAACATTAGATAAAACTTTGGAAGACAAAAAAACATTTTTACTACTGGCCTCAACATACAGGGTTGGTAGGGCTTTAAAAGGTACCAGAACTAAAGGCTGCTATCATTTATTCCATGCACTATTCAATAGCAACACTGGCCAAAGGAGAAGAGTTGAATCAGGCAGATGCTTAAATTAAAGGAGACACATTTTGTTCTACACAGCAAAGTTGGTAGCTGTCACACAGGACCTTAAAGATGGGGAATGAAAAATAAGAGGATTCCTAGTGTTAGCGGGGACACTGTGGTTAGAGTTGGCTGATTAACCCCCTTACCTTGGCATACTTCATGAGCATGTTTTCCCGGGGGATACGGAAGTTATCCATTTTTAAGTAGCCATTATCCATTTCATCATAACCAAACTTTGGTCCGATGTCACCCACAGTAATACCTGCCCCAAACCAAACAATTTCCATTAGGAAAGGAGTCAGAATTAATAGACAGCCATGAGGCCCAACCCATCAGTAAACTGACATTGTAGATTTCTGGATGCTCCTGGTATTCTGATGGGAATGGCAGCTCAGGAGTAGACTTCACATGACCTTGGCTGGAAAGGCAAGGATGAAAACCAACTGGGATTTTTATAGTCCACATACAAGTCCACAATAAAGGGACTAGGGTAGCTCCATCCAAAACGAGGATGCAGGGAGCTGTCTCCACAGTATGTACAACCTGGGATTACGGAAACAAGATCAGACTGCATGCTAGCCTGGACTCTGGGGTCACCAAATCATAAGGTAGGAACCAAACGGCTTCCAAGACCACACAAGGCCTATCCATTCATATTTAGGAGCTCCTCATTGCACTGCTATCTGAATTCAGCCTGGATCATAAGCTATATACATTAGAAATAGTTGCCCAGCTCCGTGGTCAGACAGCAAATGACTCACTGTATCCTTATCCTCCCTGCACTCTCGCTCAACCCAGACTCTTACCTGGCAAGGGTTCATGGGTGCCCAATTGCCGAATGGGTACAATGAAGGCATGTAACCCTTTGCATTGCCCCTGAGTGTAGAGCTGAGCCAGGACTATGGCATGGTTTGAGGTCTTTCCGACTGCAAGAGGAGTGGGAGGCAAAAGAGAAAAAACATTTCAATATACAGAAACTCCCTTTCCCATACAGCAGCATCTAAGATGACATTTATTCTCCCATGCATTAAGAGAAACCTATCTGCAGTGCTAATTAAGGGTTTGATCTTAGAACTGGTTTACAAATAGGTCATTAACAGGGATCTGGGTCTTCCATTTCCAATGGAAAAACAGTAAACCACGGATTTTACCTCTTACCAGAGGCAAACGCAGATTTCTCATTTTACCCAAGATACCTGTGGATTTTGCAGTTTTGTAATGAGCTCTCTGCAGCCTGGCAGAGTTCTAGCCTGAAGGGGGCTGGGGGAGCAGGAAGAGGGTGGTTAGGCAGGCAGCGCCATGTGCATGTACATACACATAGCCCCAGGCAATCTGGAGAGCAGCTCCCACAGGTAAGTGGAGGGGTGGGAATTGAGGCCCCTGTAGTGAGGGAGAGAGGGAAGGAGTTGGGCAGTGCCTGGGGCTTGGGGCCCAGGACCCGGGGCCACAATGCACTGCCACAAGGCCCCGGCAAGGAGTGGTATGTGGCTGCAGGTGGCTCATCCAGGGGTCGCTGCCTGCTCCCCACTACTGCGCACACTCCCAGAGGACAGGGGGACCTGTGCCCTCCAGACCTATGCACAGGGTGCATGCTGTGCGCTTGTGCTCCCCACCCTGCTGCCCTCCCTCAGGCCTCCGCAGCCTGGCCTGCGCGACTAGGTGCTGCAGGAAACAGTGCAGCCATGCAGGAAGCTGCTTACCTACGAGCTCTACACTGCCCGTGTTCTGCGCACACAGCCCCACACCGTTACCTCCACTGCAGCCGTGCAGGCAGGAGACGCATTGCCAGGGCAGTGCAGAACTTACAGCAGCAGGCAGCTTCCTGCACAGTTCCACTGTTCCCTGAAGTGCCCGGTCGCACACGCCAGGCTGTGGAGGCCCTGGGGGAGGGCAGCAGGGTAGAAACCCACAGCAGGCAGCACACAACCCCTGCCCCATGCACATATGTGGGGAGCACGGGTCACCCTGCCCCCGGGGAGTGCATGACGTGGCAGGGGGCAGTCTCCTTTGCCCAAGCCCACAACAGGCAGGAAGCAGGGGGGAAGCTGGGCTCTGCTCTGCTGCAGCAGCTTCCGCCTCCTGCCAGGGGCAAGGGGCTGTGGACCCAGGTCCCTGGCCCTAAAGCCCTGGCAGCTGGGGTCCCCCTTGGGCAGGGCTGGGGGACCAGGAGCTTTTGGTCGAGGGAGTGAGGGGCACGAGCAGGGCTGGGGGGTTGTGTGGGGAGAGCGAGGGGTACCAGCAGCGCCAGGGGGCTGTGGGGAGTGAGGGGCACGAGCACAGCTGGAGGGTTGTGGGTGGGAGAAGTGAAGGGTAGGCTGGGGGGGACTGTCATTTTAATCATAGATTTTGGGTTTTTAAATTAAAGAATTTCCAATTTTTTTTTAATTTAATTTAATTTTTTTTTATCAGGGAAAACCAGGATCTCTGGTTATTAATGTCACTAGTAGCTGCATGTGGAGCATGCTGCAGGATAGTCTCAGGAACTATGTACAATGTTGCTGCTTTGGCAGGACTTCTACTGAAGCAAAAGAGAGTTCTGCCTAAGTCAGGAAAGTAGGCACTTCACCTATGAGCAAAGACTGTAGATGAACTTTGATACATCTCTTAGCTGGCTGACAGGTGATATAGATCGATGCGATGCAACATTTGTTATGTGGGTCTTGGATCACCACCACCTCCAGAAAGAACAGTTCCCCATTTAGTACCCAAGTTCAAATGCAGAGCACTTTCACTTACGTCCACCAGGCCACCACTTAATGGAAGTCACAGTGGGGCTGTTGAGAATGAATTCCTGGGTAGCTGGGTCATAGGTGGCAGTGGTCTCCAGGCCTCGGAGATGAGTTCCTGTAGGCATTTTGCAAATTTATTTTGACAGACATTAATCACAGCACAGAAAAAAGGAGAGAACAAGATAGCAAATCACTGAGCTCCAGTAGTGATGCAAGTTACATAACCCAAGTGGTGAAAGGAGACACTGTGCCACATAGTTACAACACAGCAAGTACACAGACTGGTCCTCCTATGGGAAGCGAATCTAATTCTCCAGAAACATACCAGTATTTCAGTGTTCCAAGCACCTCCAACCTGACACTGCCTGTCTTTTTTTGCAGCAGCAGGAACATGAGAATTTCAAATACTCCACAATATCCTTACCTGTTTTTACTGACACTGCAATCTGACTAAAACGAAGCCACATCCAATAAACAAATCACACACTGAGTACTGTTCTCATTACTTTATCCCTGGGGTGGGGAGGGGAAGCTGTATATTCCAGCTGATGGGAGCTGTTTCTTTCAAACAAAATCATTCATAGCCCCAAGTGAAAGCATGAGAGCACACCATGGCAGGCAGCTGTTAGATGGATAGAGACATTTCATCTAGTTAACAGTTCCATAATTACTTCCACTGTCACATTACAAAATCCTCATTTCGTACATCATTCACGCTAAAGGCTGCTGTTCCTATCAATGCTATTTTTCCATGCACAGGTATCCAATCAATCTAACAAGTCAGTCGTGCTCATCCAGCACCAGGACCTACTCAGGTGTTTCAGGCTGGCTGACTATTACAGAGCCAGTGACTCCACACACAGTATTTCCAAAGCTCGGAGATTTGTGGAGCACCTGCCATCCTTTCCAAAGACTGAAAGCAGCAATAAGGCAACCCTGACCATATAAAAGCCAACTCTGAGTGAGAAATGCATGGGTACAGAAGACCTTTCAATCTTTTGACTGAAAGAGTACACCAGAAGAAAAAGAAAAATAAGAAAAGGACTGATGGAAGTGTGGGTGGTGAACGTGAGTTACCCACCCGTTCTCTGATCTAGGAATCTATCCTAAGCGAAAGAAGAGTTGACTCATTCCTTTACTACCTCTTTTAAGTACTGTACAGCTCTGTACTCTTGCCTTCAAATTGAATGCCAAGAAGGGAAAGGTGTAAACCATTCTGGAAAGTTAGGTAGGTTTACAAATAAATGAGCTGCCATGTGCTGAAATCACCAGACCCACATAAAACAAGGTATTTTCATTAATCGGTCTCCATGGAAGAGGAGCAATCAAATACACCCAGATACCACAGTGAAGGGCACCATAAACCCCTAAACAGAAGGGCAAACACTGAGTGGTGTTATAGGTGTACATCTGAATCATTAACATTTCACTGTGAAGAAACAAATTCCCCCAGTCAAGACTGCATGTGAACAGACTCTGAATAGCATACACTATTTTCTCTGTGAGGAGAGAGATCCTCCATGCAGAAAGCCACCCGTGGTAATAGATTGGAGGGAATGTACTGTACCATGGCCCATCTCGGTCTGTGCATAAGTGCCTATGATCTCCAGGTTCCAGGCCGGCATGAAGAAGCGATCCTGTTGTTCCTGGGTTGCCTGGGTGAGGAGGGTAGGAAGGAACATGCCCAGGTGAAGATCCAGAGGCTCAGGCCGTCCATGATGAATAAAGCTGTGAAGAAATGCCGAGGTGGGGGGTGGCGTGAAAGGAACATTATGGGATGAAGGCAAGTGTGAGATTTAGAGTGTACAGTGAAAGGGGGGGGGGGAAGTCTTGTGTAAGAATTTAGCAAGCGTGTTTCAGGAAACCCACCAAAAGCACTTCTCAAGTCTTAGCATGAGAAGACTCTGCTTACTCGAAAAACCAGACATGCTGTAGCATGTTCTGTTTTAATGATAAGCAGGGCTGCAACTGCAACATGCCCCTTTTTGGTTTCAGCCACAGTTTACAGAGAGCAGCTTATGTCTTGGGAGTTGAGTTGGATGAAATCAGACTGGGGCTATTTTGGCACTGGATTACACGTTTTCATTACCCAAATGAGGTTTCAGGAAAAACCGAAACCTCTTTCCACCTGAAGACCCTCTGGTTTCAGTAGCATGAGTTATGCTTCCACTTAGATGATCTAAAAACTATGCCTAGCACTTCAGTGCCATACACATCCCATTTTTGAGTCCAGGATTAGGCTAGTATCTTATTTTATTGATGTAGCAGGTTTCTTTCCACAGAGGTCCAGTGAAGAGCTCCTCCTCCATCCCCCCAACTATTCATTTAAGTCTTTAGGAACCTTTTAAATAAACCAAGCAGTACTCTGCATGTGCAATCAGCCAAAACCATGAATAAACCACAGTTCTGAGACGAAAGCCAAGGTGTATCATTTTAGGGACCACCAGTACAAAGCCATCCCCCATGTTATAACAACATGGGCTTTTGCTTCATCTAGGTCATGCCAACTTCAGTCAGGTATTAATTGACCAGAAAACTTAACAAGAACCTGTTCAGGAAGCTGTAAGACTTTGGATACCAACAAATTAAAATGCATTAACACTAGTCTTGATAGCTCTGTCTACTTACAGAGAGCTATTTTTCTTTGATCTTCATAATGCCTAGCTATGGCAACCTATGTATTGAGCTCTCACAAAGCAATTCATCCACTTGGGATTTCTTGTGAGAAATTTCATGCAAGGGTATCTTAAAATAAGATTCTAACAGATCTTAAAAATAGCCAGAGAACAGAATTAGATCTCAAATATTTAAGACTGGCTATACTGCACAGTGGTTATCACAAAGCAATAAAGTAGACAAGATGTTGGTGTTGCAGAAAGAAGCATTGACCTTAAGGGTCTTCATTTGGTACCTCTAATTTTACAGCCTCAGATAATGCAGGCACCCTCTCACAAACCAGTTTTTGGTACAGTTAGAATATTTATTACGTCATATAGTTCCCTGAAAGAACAATGGTGTGAATCTGGATGGCTGACAGGGCACTAGAGCATTTTAGCAGATCTAATTGTACTTCAATGTATACTGGAATGCTCTTTTATATACTGTGCTTCCTTTACTTGGTTGATATGGAAACAACCATCTAAAAGATGCATTGACAGCACTATTTTCAAAAGTCCTATGCCTTATAGTAATCCAGAATTAATGATTAGTTACCATTAGAAACAGGTTTTTTGTTTTTTTTTTTTTAAGTGAATTAAGTGCTGGTGAAAGGTTCCGACTTGACAATCAAATACTGAATCTCCTATTCACCAATAGGTACAGCACGGGTGATGGCAATACAGTGTTTGCAACCACTCTTCCAACTGCCTCAACACCATGCTGGAGGAGACCTACTTTAGGGGAGAAATGAGAGTTTTGCTTTTGTTCCAGACTCACAACTCATCCCATATATAGTAGGACTTAAAAGAATGCTTATTATGAAATGGACTGAAACCAATTCACAAAACAGTCACTTAAGAGTAACTACCACCAATCTAGGGTAAGAGTGAAGCCAGTAACCTATAGCTTGAAGGGTCTTTTTCCAAGACAAACCACCCAACTTCAGCTAAAAGTCAAGCTTTAGAACAAAAATAAAAACAAACAAAAAGACCCCAAAAACATGGTAAGTGGAGTGTAGTAATTATTGATGCAGCTTGTGTGACATTAGAATAATTAATTACCCAACAACCTTAGCAAGAATTTCAAACAGCTATACATATTATTGATCAGGAATCATTCAACTTGGAAGGCACGCTTGCTGTAAGACACTACCACCTGTATTAGTTTCTGCATGATTTCTTCATCAATATATTCTGGTTAGTCACAGAGTACCGTGAAAATTACAAGCACAGCCATTACACCAAGCATGGAAGTAGGATAGGTTAAATGAACCATGGCAGGTATAAGAAAAGAAAAAAAAAATCCATCACTTCTGTAGGAGAAAGGGAATGAGTTCAGCAGCCATTCTTTCCACTGTGTCTTCTTGATTTCATACCTTCTTTTCTTCAGCTAGTAGTTTGCTTTAGAGCTGGAGCCAAAGTTTGCAGATGCAAAGAATTCTGTCAAGCAACTTTTCTTTGCATTTTTTTGTTTGGCAGCAGCTGCCAAACAGCTGAGGCCCAACCAGAGTTTGTTACCTGATCCAGGAAACAATATCACATTTTCCAAGTTTGAACTCCAACAACATAGACAGTGCTGTCACCAATTGCTCATTTACTGCAGCATTTCTTGCTGGGATGCGCACCATATGCAGTTCTAGGTCCTCTGTGGTGTGAGACGGCCCACAAGAATTCTCCTGATTCAGAATAAAGTCTTGTGTTTTGACAACGAAGTTGCAATGGAGATGCTTCGGAAACAAAGGGTGCTTGGGGCAAGGTGCCCCAACAACTTGATCTTTCATACAACCCTTCCCTGCAAGCTACAGTGTTTCTAAATAAGCTTTGCTTCCTTGTTTGGGCAGTCCATCACTGCACTAGCTAAGAACTCTGCAATGTCTGTGTCCTAAATTCAGGCAAAAATACAGTTACTGGCAGCTACTGGTACCATATTCAATATGTAAATCAAGTTCCTAAGGGGAAAAAAACAGGCTTATCTTAAAACAGAATCAACAATTAGGAGATCATTAGGTAGGCAGGAGGTGCTTCATGATCACTGAAATGGTAAGAGAGGCAGTCTCTTGCTTTCAGATAAAGCATCAGTGGGCATTAACAGGTTTGTGTTTTTTAAGTTACAGATTTATTTTAGTCTTGCACCCTTTGGATTTACTTATGGAGCATCACTGATTCGTTAACTGGAGTCACAGAACAGAGGTTACCGATCAGACCCCACAGGGAACTAACCATGCCCCATTTCGGTCTGGGCGTAGGTGCCAATTATCTGCAGTCCACAGGTGAGAGGTAGCCATTTCTCTCGTTGGTCCACAGTGCCCTGGTTCTTTATGGTGGGTATAAACATGCCGAAGTGGAGATTTAAAGGCCCAACAGAAGTGCCCAAGCACATGCTACAGGAGAGAAAGAGAGATCAAGGTCTTAGTTTTCTTTTACCTATGCCCCTGGAAGTGGTACGCAATAAACAGCTGCATCTCTCTTTACTGCTGATGGACTTTCGTTACAGACCAAGATCAAATCCCAGTCATGTTGAAATCCTGTGCAACGCTAATGGGAAAGGAACCAACATTGTTAGAATTATATATAGCTACATATAAGCTAAAAAGAGTGACAGTTGTGAGCCATGAGGATCCAGTCCCATCACTGAGTTTAGGTTCAGGAAGTGTAGCCATCATGATGAGGCTACTAGTTAGGATGACTTCTGGTACTGGGAAGGAAGCAGCTTTTTCCAGTGAACCATTCTTCTTTCAGAAATTATCTTTATCTTGCATCCACCAGCAGCAGGATTGTGAACTTTATCATTCCACTCGAGTCAACCACTCCTTCAGTGAAAGGTAAATGTTTGGGACAGACATCCTTCCGCAAAATGAAGCCTATTATTTCACTAAGCTGAAAGTGATAGAGAGGCATCTGGGTCTGGAGGGAAAGCAATATAGGTGTATTACTGCAAGGGTGAGACGCAAGAATAGAACTGCATCCTAACATACAGAATTCAAACACGACAAAAAGTTTTAGTTCACGAGTTATACAGCATGGAATATTTCACTTTCTCTTTGAGGCTCTAAAGGACCTAGATATACTGGCCCAAATATGTTCAGCTGATACCCCAAACCTGGAACGACCCGGATAAACAGATGCACAGCACTCTTTTGATCCATCAGTTGCAATGCCTAGAATTTAGATAGATACTTAGGATAAAACTAGGCTCTCTCCCCCGCTATAATGTACCTGCAATGGGAATACTCCTTGGACCCAGATATGCCCTTAACACAAGGGTGGGCAATTATTTTGGGTGGAGGGCCACTTATTGAGTCTTGGCAAGCCATTAAGGGCCACATGACAGGCAGCCAGGGGCAAATAATATTAATTTTCTAAATTTTTTAGGGGTTCCGCGGGCCAGATAGAACGGCCTGGTGGGTGGCATCTGGCCTGCGGGCCACATTTTGCCCACCCCTGCCTTAACAAATAGTAGTGAAGTCAGAGAGAGCTCATGGGAATACAGGCAGCCATACTGAGTCAGATCCCTGGTATTTAGAGCTTTTGGGTGCCTGTACACACCACAGGTTTTAATCCACATTAAATTTAATACGCTTATAAAATTTAAACTTGTTTATTTTGGAGCATCGCATCAGTGTTTGCACACACTAGGTTTTCTAACAAATTAAGCTTTGGAGTGTCATAGCTCTGTTTGCACACACTAGATTTTTGAACAAATTAAGCTCAGTCCGGGGGGGGGGGAGGCCCACCCACTCCATGCCCATTGCTCAGCTAGCAAACTGGACAAGTAAAAAAAAAGTGGAAGAAATTTAAAGTGAAAGCAATTCAAAGGGGTGAACTGCAAAAAAAGTCACAGTGCCATCTGGTGGACAAAGAGGCTCATTACACATCTTTGAGTGTCTGTGTGTTTGCACGCAATGAATTCATGGACACAATTATTTAATTCCTGGTGAACCAAACTAAACAATGTCCAAGGAGTTTTAGTTTAACGCACCCGAAAGACTTTTAAGGCATCTGGAAAACCTGCCTGTGCGAACAGTCACACAGTTGCAGCGCAAGAAAGGGCAAAAAACGTGGCATGTACAAAGGCACTTTCAGCGTGCCCTTACAGTGCAGCTCATCATCAGCACTCCACACTCACTCTCACTAGAATGAATGAGAGCAGGGCAGAAGGCTGATGTTTCAGAACTGGATCCCAGCACTATAACCAAGTCCCAGCATCATACAAAAGAGTGAAAAAGCACCTTACTACCAGCGATGCACAAACAAAAGCAACTTGTTTTTATTTGCCAAAAGAAGAGCAGAGCAGTGAAGGGAAGAATAGCAACGAGATGATGGACAGAAATCAAGATAAGGAGGCAGAAGAGAACGGACAAAGCAAACAAGGAATATTCAGGGTCTTCAATGTCCCTGGCTGGCCAAAAATTCCTTTTCTTTCTGACTGTGGTGAACAGGACCTCAAAAAGCCCTAACGCTATATATAAGCATACCATATTACATTACACAGGTGCATGCCAAGTTGAGCTATTAACCAATCTTTTTACCATTCACATACAACTACTTCTAGCTTGAAAACACTCCCACATGTCCCTACATTCAGGCCAAAGTAAAAGCTGACATCATTCAACTATTGGTACTGTCCTGAACAGAAAAAGCAAAACAGAAATGCCTAACTTTGTAAAGGCAAAATGATCCTCATTCTGAAACAAAGAATAGTGACTCATGTCAGAAACATTCAATAGTGTACAGCTGATGAGCTGAACCTCAGCCAAAAGACTGTCATGGGGTACAGGATGAACAAGGTACATGATCTTGGAGAAATGGAGTTGCAGTGAGTGATAACTCTGCTCTGGTATTAAAATTCATACCCAGCTGTAGTCATGGTGTGGGAAGTGATGCAGAATATAGCACCCCCCCCGTTTTTCCCTTTTAAGTCTCTTGAAGGGATTTTGTCTCTTTAGAGTCTTAATTTCACCTCCTTACCTGAACTCAAAACAGGTGAGCAACCATCTTAAACACCTGCATGTCAGACTTTCTGGTCCCCAAAGCATCCTTCAATGGACTGAAACTGCTTGAGTGGAGAATTCAGCTTTCATCCCCAAAGCACCAGCTCATTAAATACATGGCAGAGATGGCAGGGGCAATGGAAAGATAATACAGCATGCAAACTTATATTCACCTCATATAACATTCTGCAAGGGAGTAAACATCAGTTTGAAACCTGTGTCCCCAGTCCTATAAGAACTGGAATAGTTTTGAACTCCTACCTGATCTGTTTAACAACCAGATATCAATAAATACTATGTTGACTCCCTTGCAGAATGTTATAATAGATATTACACAGCTAGAAGGACATTTTCTGATTAGAAACAGAGTTACATGAAACGTATCTGAACCTTCTCTTGATCATGAGCACCATCACCATGCAACTCCACACAGGTTACTCATTAATTAACTGTGATCCATCTCAGGTCTGGGTGTAGGTGCCTGTTATCTGCCACTCTCAGGCAAGAGAAAGCCATTTCTCTAGCTGGGCAGCATTGCACTGGCTCTCCAAGGTGGGAATAAACATGGTGTAGCAAAAGCTAACTAACAGGCTCAACATGAAGACCTATACAAACGCTACAAGAGAAAA